CATCGCGAGAATAGGCAATCACTGACGAAACATTCACAATCGAACAGACTACAGTGTCGTTGTGGTCAGCCAGTCCGCAGACGGAACGAGTTTTTTTCTTTTCCTCGAGTCGTCGTTCAGATAGCATCTGTCATCGTAGATGAATCAGTGAAAGGAAGAATCATTGGGAGCGCAATTGAAAACATTGGAAACGCATTTGAAGGGCGTTTTTCGAACTGGTGGCTCGACTGACGAATCGTTGTCAAGAGAAAAGAAGGCAAGATTAAACGATTGAACGAGCAAACGAGGTGGTAAATGTGTGCAAAAAGAAGAACCAGGGAAAGAAACAGTATATCATTTCTGCGCGCGTTCTTTCTACTAGATAGCATCGGTGCTGCTACAGCGCTGATGGCTGACAAATAACAGGATATTCCACTGAAACGCGCCGCCAATTGTGATTCAAACAAAAAGGCATGAAAGTTTACTGAAAGTGATGAACTTTCTTCTAACGGAGAAAATCACGTGATGTATCGTTCCCATGAACATGTATATTCAAGAAAATCTGTCGACGTTTACTTGGAAAAACTATGAAGAAATTGTGAAAAATACTGTTTTTTTTAAATATACCGTTTAAACAAAATGCTATACGCCATTAAATCGTTGTCAAGGAAACATTAATTACATCTATTTACGCAAAAACTGCATCTTCAATCATTTCCGAGCTATTTGACAAAAATATCGAGGTACCAACTTTGAGGTTAGTTTACAACCCTTCAACATGGACGATTGTCGATAAAGAAGAAAATACGTGTCAAAATATTTTCTCGAAAGTTTAAGCTAAATTTCATCAAAGTATTTAACTAAAGTATTTAAGTATTAAGTATTTAATATTTAATATATTTAATACTTAATTATTAAGTATTTGCAAGTATTTAAGTATTTAAGTATTTAACTACTTTGCAAGTATTTAATTAGCAGCGAAGTGATAAAAACAACAACAACAACAACAATTTGGCAGTATCGTTGTCCAAGGCAAGAGTAATTCACACTGCAATATACATTTGTCGAGCTATAATTTTCTACTTGTTATCCGGTGATCTACAGATTTATTTTATAGACGAAAATACTGTTCGAAAGAAGCTGACAATTTCCTTTTATAACGTAGCATAGTTTGATCGATATCTAAAGAGATATATTAGATTTTCTACCGGACTCGGGATGTAATTAACTTTTCATTATTTTTCCTTAAATTAAATAATATAATAATTAAAAATTATATTGTTAGTTAAATTACAATTACAGAAGGAACAACTTTCTCGATTGAAATCAAGCGATCAAGATTGATTCTATAATCGTAATACGCCACAAAATAAAATTATTAATTAATCTACAAAATTATTCCTTTCGCGCAACTTTCTGTTGTAAATGCATAAACGCGAAATTACTTGGAAATTGTCTACGTCGATTGGATGCTCGTTTCTCGAAGTCTTCGACGACGATCTGCCAAGCATCAGCTCGGGCCATTTAACCTTTCTATCTAATTAACCTAACAGATAGACGTGTTGCTCTGTTCAACGACACGCGTAATGCTATTAAAAAAAAAAAAA